CCAGAGCTGGCTGGATAATTCACTGCCTTGCCGCCTTCCCTACCAAGCCCACGGCCAACGATGCTTTGCTCCACACAAGGCACAGCCACATCTCTCTCTCAGCCTCCTGCTTCTGGATAATTACTTCTTGCCGCTCTGTATCTCGTAGGGTTAGCGTGTGTGCTTGCTCAGAGACTGCGTGTGAGAGAGGAGCGGGGGAAAATCCTGCCAGACAGACCCAGTCTCTCCTGCCCACTGATTACGTCTCCATAGCACAGGAAATCACGCCACAGCAAGGCAGGTAAATTTGCAACAACACTAAATCTTGAAGTTCCCTTTTCCTTTTCATTGTTTTGTTAGATCTGCCCTGTCAAGTCTCAGCCATCACAGCATAACGCCGGGCAGCCTCCTCCTTCCATCAGGAGTCCTTAGGGCATCTCCTGAAGATCAGACCTAGTTAAAATCTCTAGTTTCTCTGCAAAGCCCCCAAGACCGTGACAGCAGTGCTCAGTTGCCTGGGGCATTTAAGAGCGTGCATGTGTGAATGGACATTTCCAGCTACGCATAGATGTGCTCTTCTGCCATTTCACGTCAGCATCAATCTGGCTATTAACGTGACTGTTGTTGTGCCTCGCGTTCCTAAATGGGAGAGAAGGGGACAGTTCCAGCCCTCACCAATCCACTATGGATAGCATTTCCCAAATTTGGTGCTGATTCAAACACTGACTGGATGGAAGAAACAAAACTGACTCTACGGAGATTGACTTATATCTTGTGGGTTTGAGGTATCTCTGTAAAGCAGAGAATATTCAAAGGAAACTCTCTGCAGGAGCCCCACGACCCCTTCAGCCCTGTTTCTGCTGAACGAGACTCACGCACGGACCCACACAGACCAGCCCTGACCGGGTCGACGGACGATCACTGGGAATCACTGACCCCAGCTAAGGAAGACTAAGCACACTCTCTTTTGCATCTTTTGCCTGTGCCCCAGTGTTAAATCTGCCTCCTGCAGGGCTCCTTCCACCCCAGGCGATCAGCCCTAAACCATCAAGAAGCTTCAGCCAAAGCTGCCTGGCCAGATCTGGCTCAGGTGCAGACCCTGGCCCACCCTGACGATACACGTCTCCCCAAACGAGAAGCAGCAGGCACGAAACAGCAAGACTAGCCCCTCACTGAGGCAAACCTCCAGCACAAGGACTGCTGAGCTAATGGCCGCCCGGCAGCATCAGCGGAGCAGGCAGGGAAGCCAGCCCTTGGCTCCGGGGAAGGGGCAAACACCACCCCTCCACCAGCAGGAGTCTGCTGCTCCTGCTCTCGCCTCATTTGCTTTACAGATAATCAGGTGCTATAAACCTAACAGCGCAGCTGTTTGCGCTGCCCCATCCTCCCGCCACACCCAGCTCTGCCCAGCCTTTGCCGCACGTCCAGGCTCTGCGCGCTCAGGGCAGGATGGCCGGGCATTGAAGAGGTTAGGCAATAACAGAGGTTACCCGGCAGGCCCTGGCCACGAGAGA